CTCTCACACACACACACACACACACACACACACACACACACACACACACACACACACACACACACACACAAACACACACGCGGACACATACGCACTCTCTCTCTCATAGTTCCAAGACCACAAAAAAATGAAAGCAACAGACACGAATAACAAACTAACCACCAGTCATCAAGGTGCCGTCGTTCGAAAGCCTTGACGCTGCACAGGTCAAGCCTCAGCGTCCAACATTCAGGATGCAGAGACGGTGTGTTCTGGGTGGGTGGGTGTGGTTGTGTGTCTGTGTGTGTGTGTGTGTATGTGTGTATGTGTGTATGTGTGTATGTGTATAGTGTACGTGTGTGTGAGTGTGTGTTCTGTGTGGGTGAGTCTGAGTATGTGCGACTGTTGTTATGTTCGCTATACAGAGCTCACAAACACAGCCAGACTGTTTCGTCGGGCTTCCACCGACTCGTCAGGAGGTTGAACCCCGACAGTCCGCCCAAGACAAACTGTACTGATGGCCAAGGACTCACCACGTTCGTGTCTGTGTGTGTGTGAGTGCGTGGGTGGGTGGGTGTGGTTGTGTGTGTGTGTGTGTGTGTGTGTGTGTGTGTGTGTGTGTGTGTGTGTGTGTGTGTGTGTGTTAAGATTTTCCCCACAACAGCCCCAATTCCACCCAGGTGAATAGATTCAGAATCAAAGCAGTCTTTATCCTATTGCAGACAACGAGAGCATTTGAGATGTCTGACATATTAAAGCAATTTTAAATTAGACAGTTTTTTGGTTGTTCTTGGGGTACCCCTTTCATTGTTCTTGCAGCTCCCCTTTTACTGTGCCTCTTACGCGCAAGGCTGCCCACGTTGATTGCGGTTGAGCGGCAGCTGCCCACACCCCCGTGTGCCTCCACGGTGTGTGTGTATGTGTATGTGTGTATGTCTGTGTGCGTGTGTGTGTTCTGTGTGGGTGAGTGTGAGTATGTGTGACTGTTGTTATGTTCGCGATACAGAACTCACAAAATGACACAGCAAGACTGTTTCGTCGGACTTCCACCGACTCATCAGGAGGTTGAACCCCGACAGTCCGCCCAATACGAACTGTACTGATGGCCAAGGACTCACTACATTCGCGCGTGTGTGTGTGCGTGTGTGCGTGTGTGCATGCGTGCGTGCGTGTGTGCGTCCATGCGTGCGTGTGTGCGTGTGTGCGTGTGTGCGTGTGTGCATGCGTGCGCGTGTGTGTGTGTGCATGCATGCGGGCACGTGTGTTGGTGTGCGTGTGAGCCTGCGCGTGTCCAAAGTAGAGCGAAGTCGTAGTCGACCATAGCAGCGTAGAGGTCAGTCGGCGTCGAGCGCTGTAGCCTAGGGTATGAAAAGTCGAAAGTCGATTGGAGGG